GATGTAGGAGGATACCTCTGTAGGGTTTTTTTTTTTTCTTTTTAAAAAGTAAACAATCAGAGACCAAACAAACCTTGGGACATCACATTACGGGACCCAATGGGGCCATTCAAAATACATATAAATCCACCATCGTGTTTCTCAACCTTGGCATGACTGACGTCTTGAGCTGGACACTGTCTGCTGTGGGGGCCGTCCTGGGCCTCAGGGGGTGTTAGCAGCACCCTCTCCCCACTGGAAGCAAGTAACACCATCACCCCTAAGTTGTGGCAACTAAAAATGCCTCCAGACATCACCCAACGTCCCCTGGGAGGTGGGGGCAGGGGCAGAAAATGGGCCGAAAACCACTGATCTAAGTTTGATGCTGGAAGGATGTTTGCAGTTCTTCTCAAGGAGAAATCCTGAAACAAGAGCAGCAAATATGATACGGACCCACTTTCACATCAAAAATGAGAATGATCATCAAATCGTTTAACATGACTACTTCTGAAAGGGGGAGAGACCGTGCTCTTTTCTCTGTGTTTCTATACCGTTAGCGTGTTTATGGCCAACGTTGATCATTTTAATTCTTAGAATCCTAACACACAAAAACAACTCAGGCACGCGCGTGCCCGTCTGTTTCCGCGTGCGGCTGACAGCGCCGCTCCCGCTCGCCCTGGCCCCTCGGGGGAGCACCGTGTGTTCCTTGAAAACCAGCAGATGTTTCTCTCAATTACCGATTTTCAAGAGCCCAGTGTTTCCCGACGGGAGCTGGGATGGCAGCCCCAGGGGAGGGGAAGGAAGCCCAGGCGCCCTTTCCAAGCCTCTCTGACAAAAAGCGCCTCTCGGGACCCGGGGCCACATTGTGACTGGTCTGTGGCCACTTGTCAACGGCTCCCTCCTTGCAAGACTAGAGGGGCCCAACTATTCTGGGTCTCACCCAGGGCAAGGGCAGGTAGGTAGGGAGGTAGCCCAATGGCCAAGATCAAGCCCAGCCCTGGCTGCCCCAGAACAACTTCTGCATCCTACTACTGTGCCACCAAGTCCAGGCCACTGTCCTGGGACCCTATGTCCCCCTGACTGATGGTGTCAGGGCCACCACGGTTCTCAGGCAGCGAAGAACTAGGACCTGAGAACCAAGGATCCTGACCTCCAGAGCCGGGCGGGGGCTCCAGGTGTAGACCCGGATGCATCACGCACTCTCTCTTTCCTCTACCTTCAGCCCTCACTGCTATCTGGGACCTCCTTCCTGGAGCTAACCTGGGAACCGAATTCCCTGGAAAAATGGCTCCTGGTAAACCCTGCCATGGGAACTGCTCCCAACACAAGAGCCCGCAGAGCCCGCGGTGTCCAGCAGCTTCCCAAATCCTTTGACTGGACCAGAAGGAGGCTTCGGGCTACGGACTGGGTATCTGTGCCCCATCCCCTCTCCCCACAATTCCTAGGTCCACGCCTTAACTCCCAGTGTGGCTGTATTTGGAGATGGTCTCGAAGGAAGGAAGGTTATAGGAAGTCGTGGGGGGAGAGGCCTGAGTTTACAGGATCAGTGTCCTCATAAGAAGGGGCACCAGAGAGCTCCTTTTTCCTCCCTGTACAGCACGCATGGACGAGGCTGTGTGAAGACACAGGATGTAGTCCCCTACCAGCCAGCAAGAAAGCTCCCCCCAGAAACTGAACTTGCTGGCAACTTGAACTTGGACTTCTTGCCTCTAGGACAGAAAGAAAATATACTTCTGTTCAAGCCCCCAGACGGTGGCTATTTTGTTAGAACAAGTCCGGCTGACTAGAGGACACCAGGTAGAGGAGCTAAGTGGGGCGAATTCTGCTACCAGCTATGGACGGCACTTGTCCGGCGGTGGGGGCTGGGGACAGACCGAGGGAGACATCGTCCCTCAGGCACCCCTTCAGGACAGGACAGCCAGCAGCAGGGCCTCGACCTCTATGCAGGACACCAGGGGCTTTTCCCATTCATTTGCTCAAGTGGCGCGTACGTCCTGTGCCCCCACCATGTGCCAGGCCCACCCTGGAGCCGAGCTGCTCCCAGGCAGGAAGCACCTGAAATCCTATCTTGCCTTGTCCCTTCCGAGGCAGAACAATTCGAATCCGTGCTCCCGGAAAACCTGGCTGGACTTCTACGCGGGATAAACGGATGATGAAGCAGAAGTCTCCTACTGTCTTCTAACCGGGAGGGGACAGCAGCACAGTGCGCACCTGCTGCGTCACCTGCCCCGTATCCATGGCTCTGGGGCCTCACCGCTGCCTCCCGCAGCTCTCCAGGACGGCCCTGGTCCCGTGTCCCCGTAAGCTAAGGACAAGGGAGCTGAGGCTGGCAGGGGCAGAACCACACGCCCAGCTCACTCAAACAACTTCACGTGGCCCTGCGGGGAGGTTCTAGGAAACAAGGCTGGACACGCTGACCGTGGTCTGCTGCATGGACCACACGGCTGGACAGGGCCTGAGCCTGGGAGGAGCTCACGTGGGGAGAGTGATGTCACCCACGCAGGGCCACCCCAGCCCCCAGCCCGCCCCAAGCAGGTGGGAGAGCAAATGTCAGCCCCTGCTTCTCTCTGAGGGTCTGGGAGGCTGGGTGTCTGAGATTATCCATGCACCTGTCTCCCATCTGTGATCACCTCTGTGCTTGTCTCGGGGTGTCTGTGTTTCTGGGTGTTTCCCGTGTGTGTGTGTGTGTGTGTGTGTGTGCGCGCACGCGCGTGCGCACGTGAGAGAGGGAGGGAGACAGTCTGGGGGTCTAAATCTGCCAGAACTCTTCCTGTGACTCTGGACGAGTTCTTCCTCTTTCTTTTTCAGGCGACAGTCAAAACACATTCCCTGGGGCAGTTACAAGCCTCCCAGACACCAGCGCCTCTTCCCATCCCCACCCCACAGGTGAGGCTGTTCCCACCTTCGGTATCATTTCCTTTTGAAACAGCACCTTCCAGAAGCGGGAAAATCCCAACAGCTGGGAAGACCAAAGTAGGACCAAGGAGCTCACGGAGGTGCCTTTTCTGCCCTCCGAGACAGGGATGTAGCAATACGGTGGGAGGCGAGCGGTCCAGCTCTGGATTCAAATCCAGACATTGCCACACCCTGGGTGGGTGCCCTCAAGCGGTCACTTGGCCCACGTGACTTAGTTTCCCCCATCAGAAAGATGGATAACGCATAACTTGGCCAAGCTTGTGCGGACTAACAGAGCTAGCAGAGGTATAAGAGTTCTACCAACACTAGCCGGTACCCAGCAAGAGCATAATAAACGGTGGCCCCCATTAGATTAAAAAGCAGGCCACTCACCTGACTGGGCAAGGCACAAGGGGTACGAAGATGTCAGTGCTCATTTATTAAATGATCTGGAGTGGCTGATACTGAGCATGTAAATTCAATTTGTATGATGACAGCTAGTGTGGAGAGAGGGGAAGAGAACAACAAGAAAAATCCACTGGCAGACAGACCTACATGGCAGCCCAAGGTCTGGCTACAAACACCCAAGGTGGGTGGCTGGTGGGGGGTTCTGTCCTCTCAGGGCACAGCTGCAGGACACCCAGGGGTCATCCCTCAAGACCAAAGGGTTCACTTCACCTACGTGTCCTCCCCATATCCCCACTTCCTCCATGGCACACGAACTCCCCTCCTCCAGTCTATTCTGCATACAGCAGCCAGAGCAATTTTTAAAAATATCGATCAAAGTACTGACTCACGCTCAGATTAGAACCCTACGGAGGCCTGCTCAACTTCCTTTCTGAACCTCCCACCTCCTTCCCTTATTCACCATACTCCAGCCACACTGGCCTCTTTCCTGTTCCCACCCCAGGACCTTTGCATGTGCAGTTTTGTCCTGGAATCTTCTCATGGCCTTCCATATTACCATGTCAAGGAGGCCTCCCAAATGCCCCAATCCAAATACATAACACCTCTGACCTCTGCATCCCCTGATGGCCTGTGCTGGCTGCAAGAGGCGATGCAGTGTACCGACAGGGCCTGGATTTTCCTAGTTCTGTCTCATTCTAGCTCTCTGTGCCTCTGCTTCTTCATCTGCACCATGAGGTGAACGACAGCCCCACCACACTGGCCTGTTCGAGGATCGCAAGGTACCCAGAAAGCCCGTGGCACGTAGAAACGCCGTGTGAGTGCTGGCTACTACGAGCGACTCCCTCCTTCAGGAACGTGCCTGCCTGCTGATCACGGACTCCAACTCACCGGCAAGCAAGCTCCCCGAGAAGGCCTTGCTGATGCTGGTCTTGTGGTCTCCCCAGTGGCAACCACCCGGCACGGCCCACAGTGACCACCTGCAGCAGGAAGGCGTTCACGTCCGAGGTCCTCCTGTGGGAGTCTCATCTCTCCGCAGAGGCCAGAGGGTATGTGGGTGTGGACGGAAAGTAGGGTCTTTCACACCTACACGTGCAACTACCGATGACACAGCTGCACACTCCTGGGCTTGGATCCCCAGAAAGGAAGGCTTGCGCCTGCTCCAAGACCCATGCGTGAGTGTTCACGGCAGTCGCCCTTGTAATGGCCCCAAGGTGCGACTCACCCAGCTGCTCTTCAACAGGTGACGCCCTCCCCTCACCGTGGCATCTCCAGCTCAAAGGACGCCACTGGCCAAGAAAAGGGGCGCACTGTGGGTCCATGAGACAACCCGGAGGGATCTTCGGAGAACTGGCCGAGCCAAGAAACGCCACACGCTGCACGGTTCCCTTTATTTAACGTTTCAGAATCACATTACAGAGACGAAAAGATGAGACGGTGCCACCATGGGTTAGGGACGGAACAGGTGGGAGGTGGGGGTGGCCACAGAGGGAGGAACGAGGAGGTCCTCATGATGGGGCGGTTTCACATCTGGACGGCGGCAGGCTCACTGGAACCGACACGTGTGATGAAACGGCACAGAGCTAAACACACCCGACACACGCACGTGTGTGCACGCGCGCACACACTCGCTCCGATGAGTGCGCGTCAACTGGGGACGGGGCAGTGAGGTCGATGGGGTGTACCGAAGGCGGCTCTGTGGGCCGCGATACTGTACCTCAGCTCCGCACACCCTTACCACTGGGGGAAGCCGTGTGCCACGTTCACGAGCGCTCTCCGGATTATTTCCTGCAAATGCTGCAAATCCACAATTGTATCAAAACAAAAAGTTTTCTTAAAAAGGGAAAAGTACAAAGGTGGGGGGAGACCCTGTCCTTTGGGGCCCTAGCATTGCCCTGGCGGAGGCCAAGGCCGGCAGGCCCAAGGGATTCCCCAGGGTGTGGCCCAGGCCTGGCACTAGGAGGGGGCTTTGCTGCACTGGGGGTGGGGTGTGGGGGGGTAAGAGCGGAAACAGAAGCCGCCTCCCCTCTCCCGGCCTCCCTCCCGTCTCCCGCTCACAGCATCTGCCATCTGGCGGCTGCAGCCAGCCAAACGAAACCATCTCTCGGCTGTCATCTCTCAACTTGCAGGTCTGGCTCCCAGGTTTGAAGATTAAATTCTAAACATGCCATTTAAAATTTAGAAACGAAGAAAAAAGAATTTAAATAACCTCTAAGCACCGGCTGCTAGTGGCTTCCCCCTAGCGAAGGGCAAAGATCCTCCAGCTTCTTGGCCAAGGCGAAGGAGAGCAGCCCGGGTTCTCCCAATGTAAAATACTATGGCACCACCAATATAATTAAATATCCCCAATACGTCTCAGTGGGTCACCGCATCCCCAAGTCAAGTGTCCGTGTATGACCAGCGACAGTGACTGCTGCCAGAGGCCCCTTCAGCACGGAGGCATCAGGAGCTGCAGGGACCTTCCAGCTATACAGGCATCTCCGAAGACACCGGAGTGTCTTCTGAAAGGCCGCTCGACCGCTCACCTGTCTTCTCAGAAACCTGGACTGAGCTGAAGTGGGCATGCCAGGAATGCTGGGGCCTGTCCCTCCACATCTAGGGCCGCATCAGGCCTGTGCCAGCTGGCCAGAAGCACATGTCTGGTCCCACAGGGCTCACGCTGCCTACAGGGCCCAAGGATGGGTGAGCAAACATGCAAATAAGCACCAACCGTTCCCAGCATTAGGCAGCGCGTACGAGGGGGTGGAGAGCAGAGTGTCTGGGAAGGACAGTCCCCTGGATGGGGTGTCGGGGTGACCTGAGACCTGACAGGTGGGGAGGGCTGGGGGAAGAACACACCTGGCTGAACGAATGACGTTCAGTGCAAATGCCCTGAGGTAGGAACATGTGTCATGTTCACGGGCAAGGCAGAAAAGGAGTGTGCAAATGATTCAGATACCACGGTCCGATGTGATGTTCTGAACAAGGCCGCGCATCAGAGCTGTCGTGGGAGCTCTGAGCGTGAGCCCCTGAGCCCTGCATCCCCCACGTCCACCAGACTGAATCAGGCTTTCAGGGGTGGGTCCCCGGCTGCAAGATTCCGTATTTCTCAGAAGCGCCTTGCTTCGGACCGACCAATCTCTGTCAGGCTTTCCCTCCTTTAGCACAGGCCGCTTGTTCTAGCAAACTCGCAGCTGAATTCCGGGATGCCAAAGCATAGGGCTGGAGCCTACTATTTAACTGAGTAAGTGCAAGAGGGAGGAAGAGGGGGGAAGCCGGGCACACCGGGTCGTGTAGAAACCCCGGAAGCCATCTCTGTGGGAGGCAGCGGCCCGGAGTCCCAATGCGGGCTGCATGAGAAAAGGACACATCAGAGAGAAGAGCAACCCTGGTGAAGCCAGGAGCGGGGGGCAGCCTCCTGGTCCCCCGGGCGTGGGCCTGGTGCACCGCTGTACCCGAGCACGGTCAGCGGGAGGCTTCCCCCCAGAGAGTGGGCGCCAGGGCCTTGCCCGTCTTCACAAGGGGGTGCTAACAGGCAGTGCGGAGCCCCCCCGACGCCCCAGGAACCTGGTCAGATGAGCGCACAGAGGGACTTCTGCCCATCAGACACACCAGCGGGCAGTTTCAGCTGCCACGGCTTTGCCAGGCGCCACGAAGAGCTTTTGATGCGTCCTATCACCCAAGTCCCCAACCAGCCACGGTGAGGTGTCCTGTCGTCACCTGGATCTGATAGACGAAGAGACACCAGGCCTGCCCACCCTCGCTCAGCGACTGCAAGGGCAGGCCCTGCGACATCTGGGGATGTCCCAACGGGGAGGCTGTGCTACCTGCATCTAGGGGGTCCGGGGCCCGGGAAGCCGCCAAACACCCAGAGTGCCCCGGACACCCGCGGGACGGGATGACCCCACCCGAATGTCAACAACGCTGAGACTACAGAGGGCGGCACGGCGCCCAGTGCCCCGGACCCGCCCGAGAAGCAACCGCAGGCACCAAGAGAGTCCAAATCTGGCCCCCGTCTAGAGACAGTGGCAAAGACTGCCACGGCACGCAGCTGCTCCAAAGAAGAAGAAAACAACCCAGCCTAAAAACTGGATTTGAAAGCACAGAATCTGGGGAAAGGCACGAACTGTACCTTTCCGCAGGCTGGAGCTGCCAAACTGCGCCCGATCTCGGCAGAAGCACCCGGCACACAGTAGGCGTCTCATGGATGCTTATGGAAGAGTACGGGTGAGCGAGGAGAACAGCAGGCCCCATGCCCACGCACACCTTGTGTACAGCTCCCCCCACCCCCGCAGAAAGGAGAAGAAAACCAACCATCTGTGGGGTTCCGATCCATGAGAAAGCGGGGGAGGGTTTCTGAGATGGGACGGTCCACCTGTAGGAAAACCGGGCTTTGTAACACCCCCAGCTGCTGCGTCTGGTGCCAAGGGCAGTCACTATCCCGGAGCTCGTTCACCCACATACACGGGAGGCTGTAAGCTCAGGGCCCTCCTGGGGACCAAGTGCCTTCAGTCTCCGGGAAAGCTGCGGTGGCACCAGTGAGCCCCTGATGGCAGCGCTCCGTCCGGCTGGGGAACTCTGCGAGGCTACCTCCACCGCCAGTCCTCTGGCTAAAAGGCTTCCCGCCAGCCCTGTGCCGGGGAGCCCTGCTCCCCTGTCCACCCCAGGTTCTACCGCAGATGGGCCCACAACGTGGGCTGCCATGGGTCAGACCTATCCGCCCAGGTGCCAGCAGGGCACAGAGGAGGCGCCTTCGCTGCCAACTTCCCAGGGTGTGCCATCCATCTCGGGTGGTGGTGAGAAACCCCCACAGGGGGTCATGAGAAACTAGCTTCCAGAGGTTTCCGCTGCCACCGGGATCCCCCATGCCCTCCAGACCAGTGGCCTGCCCTAGACCCCGAGGGACCCCGGACCCCCACCTGGGCCTCCTTCCTGCCAGGGCAATAGAGCCCTCAGACCCCACTCGTACAATCTGCAGGTGACAAGGAGAGAGAAGTGATCCGAGGTTTTCCTGCCTGGAGTGACGATGACAACAAGGTGGTCCCATCAATGAGAAGCAAAAGGGCCCTCCCGGACCTCACTTTCTTTTTAAGGAAATTTCTTCTAGATAACTGTACATTTACGTAAGTTATAAGCAATTGAATAGGAAGATTTCCAAACACCCTGCACCCAGTTCCCCGACGAACGCATCTTGCGTAACTGTATCATTTACAGCTGTCCCAGAAACTTCCACACTGTTGAATCAACCGTTGTCTTATAGATCAGGAGACTAAGTCTGCACAGCACCTCCCCCAGGATCTGCGGCCAGCCAACAGGTGCCCCTCTCAACTCCCCTCTCCAAGACCCTCCGCCCCAGGGCTTCCCACTGTCTGCATCCCACCCCCTCAAGTCCGGGTATGTGTCAGCCTCTGAGAGCCTCCAGAACCACCGACCCCCCCAGGCACGCTGATATGACCCCGTTTCTCCTCCTCCCTGGCACTACCAGCATCTGAAACCACATTTCTGTCCTCTCCCCACTGGAGTCTGAGCTCCTCGAGAGCCAGCATCTCCACTCGCCCCCAGCCCTTCCAGTCACCAAGGAGCTCCACTAGCTAATGGGTGAGCAGGTAACGGCCTCTCCTCCGCACCCGGGACTGCCCTCTGTCCCGGTGTAACCTGTACATTTACATTTACGCAGCTGCATTCAGCCAGAGGTTACAACAGCTCTACTCGGGGATGAAGGCTTGAGCAGGATCTGGACAGTCCAAGTCATTTCTGGACCTTGTCTCCAAGGCAGGGGACCCCCTCTGCCATCAATTCACTGCATGGCTTCAGGCACGCTGCTGCTCTCTGAGCCTCAGTGTTCTCATCCATAAAATGGGGGGATGACCCCCAAATTCCCTTGCAAACCAAAGCACAAGCCCCTACCGACTGGGAACCCAGGTCCTGGGTCTTCCCGAGTGTGGGAGGAGCCAGCGGCTTGCTTGAAGGACGGGGGGTGTCTCTCCAAGCTCAGCTACCATCTGCCCCCCCAACCAATGACGGGAAACAGAGCCCCTCAGCCAACAGCCCCCAGGCTTGGAAGATGAGAGGACCCACTGATGAGCTCTGACTGGCTGGGACCCCCCCCTACTCCCCCCTTCTAAAATGAAAACAAAACCAAAAACCAAATCCCTGAATTCCTGCAAGGGCACCTACTACCTACGGAGAGTCCACGGTCCCGGTCCCAGCCGCCGGCAGAAACGAGCTCATCCCGGAGGAAAGCAAGTCCAACCAACGAGCTATAAATATTTCTGCTAAATGCTGCCTGGAGTGGGGCTTTCTGCATGAGCGGGCCCCACTGAAAAGGAAGGCGGCTCACCAGATTTGTTTCGAATTATGAAAATAGATGTTGTCTCCCCGCCACATCTGTTTTGCCTGACAAATGAGCAGCAATTCTCCTCCTATAGAAGGCAGCACACCCAGGCCGCCTTGAAACCCCGGCCTCTCCAGCTCTTCAGAGAAGGGAAGAATAAGGCCTCCCAGATTTGCGCTCTGAAAAGGAGACTTTGAAATCTCATTCCCCAAGCGGCGGGCTCTTGGGGAACCCAGGCCAGGCACGCGCTTTGGGGGGCCTGGCCAGGGTCAAGACTCCCTACACACGCAGAAGCTGCTGATTAAGGGGAAGGGGGTCTTCCGCTGTCTTTAAAAAAGACCAGGAGACAAAGTCAATGATTTAAAAACAAAACAAAAAGGGCCCTCAAAAACTCAAGCCAAGAGCGCACTCCTAATGTGCGGAGAAAGGACAGGTTCTGGAGGGGAGTACCAACAAGGACCCCCTCATCTCTCCAGGCCACAGGGGCTTGGTGACTGGATTAACAGAATCATTTTCCTTTAATTACTCCAAGACAGACCCAATTCCAATTCCTAAGGCCCTTTCTCGCGGGGGCACCTTGTGGACAGAGTGGGGCCATCAGCGTGTCCCCGCACACATGCCCAACTTGGTGATGCTGTTTTGCTGTCTCTCTCTCTTCAAGAAAGGCCCCCTTTTCTTCATTTTGGATGTTTCTCCATAAAGATGGACATTATGGTACTGGGGGAGTGGAAGTGACAGCAGAACTCAAAGTATGACACGCTCAGCCGCCCGACCTCTGCCTTCCAAGGGGAAGGGAACTACAGGTTTTCAGGCCAAGATGATGAAGAGCCCACAGCTCGTTTAGCGACCCAAACAAAGCCTGTAATAGTAACAGACCCATGCAGGCACGATGGAATAGCAGCCTAAGACACTGCTCCGACCCATGGGTTCAGTCTGTTTTGGTGGAGCGGGGGGTGGAATAAAGAAATAAAAGGATTGGGCTAAGAAGCCCAGCGCGCTGAGACGTATTTTCTCCCTGTCCCCTCTCCTGCCGATGAAACTCCCCATCCCTCCCCACCGACCCCCAAGGAAGCAGATTGATACCCTGGATTTGCTTGGCCGGGCAGAAATGAGATGCAGCTTCAGGATCCCAGGAGATATCTGGTCCGCTGCCCGCCCCCAACCCTCTCCTCACCTTCTGTGCCCCTACCATGTAAAACCCTGAGGCAGATTGATGACTGCTGGGTGGAGGCTGGAAATTTATGGCTCTGAGGCCGGGTCAAC